TGAGTCACTGCAGGTACTGTAGCCTGTTTAATGTGTGCGTGTGTGGTAGCCAAGCATTATTTTTTGTGCTTTCTGGAAAGTTCTTGTGATATGTATCAAAAAACAGTTGCGTGGGAACTTTTTGTTTGTTACAGTTAAGTGTTCAGGTGTGCCTCTGATTATATGGACGTGCCGCCCCCCCACCATTTATCTCCCGAAACACAAAGGTGTAAATCTACAGATGCACAACAAAGCAGGCAGCAAACGTTTAGAGGGCCGCATTGTTGGGTAATTACAGTAATCTCTGTTTGAAGAATAAACTAGATGGAATGTACACGTCTTACTCTTCTACTTCCCTGAAGCGCATGCACAATCTCACACACACTTTCACACCTATACCTGAGCAAACACACAGCTGCAGACAAACACACACCCCTGCACTCATGCCGTTCTGTATTGAGTGCAGGAATGGGTGGAATTGAAGTGGAATGTCTGATTTTTTAAGTTGGCAGTGAAGTAGACACATTGCTGTACCTACCTGTGCGCCCAAATGAAGCATGTCGTCTCTGTCAGAGACTAAATCTGCTGCGGGGAATCTTGGGAATCTCAACAACGCAGCGCCTCTTGTTGCCGTTCCTCCCTGCCCTGCTCACCCACAGCCTGCACTGTGTTTACACAAAGTCATGGGGGCTGGACACCCTTCACTCACATAGAAGAAAGAAAACAAAGATGAGATACAGGTAAGAAGTCATCCAGAGACATGCAGACAGGGGTTAGCGTGTGAGCGCAGACCGCCACAGAGGTGTGGCTATTTTTGGAACTGTGAAGGATTCACCCAACGAATTTACATTTCTGGAATTCCACTCATGTCAGCACTTAAGAGAGATTTCTGCTGCAGCTCAAAAGAGACACTTAAAATCTCAATAGCTGAGCTAAAATAACAAGGTGCCAATTTGAGGAGAGACACATTAACAGGCTGCTACATAAGCAGAGTGTGTTTCTGTAGTCTCTCTGCAGAGCACAGGTGACTCTTCTGACCTTGATGACCTTGCAATTAAAGCATTTTTTATTGCATTATACGTATCATTTCCTACTAGAGGCTCAGTTAAACCAGGATATGACCTTCTCAAATGATGTGAAGATCTGAAATAAAACTTAATCCAAGCAGGGAGAAGTGATAATGTGATACTTTATTTATCCCTGCGGGGAAATTGTCTTTCTACTTCTGATATGGAGGATAAAAACCGATAACAGGTGTGCTTCCTTTCACACTAAATCACTTCAGCACAGGTGTGTGTGGCCATCTTGGCAGAATACCTGAAATCAAATACAGCCTCATCTCAAGCAGGCACACCCACCACCAGCACAGCGGTGTAACACTCCTTGTGCCTCATCAGAGTATCGTACAGTGGCGGTGATAATGATAGCACGCACACTGCTGCTTCCCTCAGCTCTGGTTTTAGGCTCACAGCAGTCGGCCTCCTGAGTTTCAACAAAAACATTTTGGTAGTAACCCTACAGCTGGAGCAGAAATGTCCCAGTGAGAAAAGGGAAGCAGCTTCCAACATCTAAGTTTGATCAGGAGGATGTGGAGGAAGTTTAACAACTGACACTACACCGTTTCTGATGGAACTGATTGGAACTGACTCCAGACTTTCTGATGTATGCAGGTTCTAGCTCGTTTTACTACTAAATCATTACCAAGATTACCAATCACCTTTGACGTACAGAGAACTGTCCGGATTGCACATTTTAAATATGATATAATATAAAATGCTCAAATTATAACTATAGAAAGGAGTCATCATGATGCATTTGCACCACTACAAAAAAAATCTGGCTTAAAAACTGGAAACAATGTTTCATTTTATCTCTCTTTCTTTCTTATATTATTATTTTTTTTTAAATGCTGGAACGTCTTTGGCCTAACACTGGGAGCAACAGAATACGACAATGGCTTTAAGACTCTGAGGTTATGTTAGCAGTATTTCGTTGCACATATAAGGGATGTTTAAGTTATACTGCCGACGGAATAAAATCTGATACAATTGATCATATGTAGGCCATCATTCATCCAGAAGCAGTTAGCTTGCTAATTTGAGGATAACAAAGAAAAGTATTCTCATGTCCTGAAGTGTTGTAAATGATTTCTTTCAGGTGAGAAGTGGAGGTGCCTGAGTAAAATGTGAGGCAGTGGGAGGATTTTTTCTTTGTATTGATATAAACGAAAGATGTTTTAGTATGTATCGACTATCTCTCTAAAGAGTAAACACCATCGCCAGGCAAACGCATCAAACCGCACTTATGAAAAACCGCCTGACGGTTAAGGCCGCCTTAGATCAGTGATTCTCAACTGGTCTCTCCTCAGGACCCATCGTCGACTCCTTTGTGAAAAATCTTCACATTTCCAATATTTTTCAACAAATCAAATTTACTTCATTAAAGAATGTACATAACAAATGACTGCACAAAGAGACACAACAAACCAAACAAGCTTCAAAGACTTTTTGGCGCTATTGTTCTCTCAGGAACACATTTGCGACCCACTGAAAACTGCTCCGTGACCCACTTTTGGGTCCCGATCCACCAATTGAGAACCACTCATTTAGATAACTCAACTCACTTTCTTTTTTCTAAGATATATTTTGGGGCTTTTTGTGCTGAAATCAGAGAGAGAGAGAGAGAGAGAAAGAGTGGAGAATGACATGCAGGAAAGGAGCCACAGGTGGGATCCTAATCCAGGCTGCCCACTTGGAGGACCACAGCCTCCATACACGGGGCGGGCGCACTGACCACCGTGCCACCAGCGCTCCAACTCAACTCACCTCACTTAATCAAGCAGCTGTATCTGTTTCAAAGATAACCGTTGTTTCTAAAAATATAAAAGCCTCAATCTTGCTTTTTATGAACACAACTGAAAAACCAGACGAAGACTCTCAACACACAGACGTAATAAACCCAGTTAACCTCTCAGTTCTGTCACTTTCACACACATACAGCTCTGCGTACACTATGTGATCTGTAATCACGCTGTCACATACTCACTAGGTTATAATTAGGTGATAAAACTTAAACATGCAGACGCACACACTGCTCAGGATGCCAATCAGAGATTCATATCTAGGGAACGGACTCACTGACAGCAGGTAGTTTATAGTAACCTTATCTTATATGCTCTGATATCATTTTGAAAATCCCTGTACTTTAATTCCCACATTTGTCTTTAATGTGTGTTACAATAATTAATTGTTAATATTCCCTAAGCTCTGAGGAAGTGACAGTGAGCAGACGTGATCTTACTGTAAGTCGTTCTGTCTGGTTCCAGCAAAGTCCGAGCCGCTGAGATATGAAGGGTTGCAGGAGAAAACAGTTTAATGGTTATTACTGGCCTGAAGCCAGAGTCATAACTCTTGCTAACTCTCCCGTCATGCAGCTCTGAAAGGTGTTGACAGGAGAAGAGTTAGTGGGACAACAGACGTTTCGTCAACAGGTGTCTGTTTACGTTCTTAAAAACTGTTAGTGCAACTATTATCACGTGACCCAGCATAGGTGGCTCTTTTATCAATTGGTCATCAGGGTCAAAGTGGTTATGTCACCTGAGCTGTTTTGTAACATTGCAAAAAGTTTATACAGACTTTATCCTCCTCTGTGTCTTTCTGACCATGTTTCTATAAAAGTCTTTGATTCTCTTTGAGCTGGAAAAGTGTAACTATAAAGTATTCTTTATTCTGTGGCACAAATTGTTGTAGGGTGAAACATTTGCAAGGTGCTTTGGTATGTGGAGCTGTTAGAAAAAAAGCTCTGACTTCATGTTAAGGTTTTTTTCCTTGCTGGCTGCATAGAGGAGACAGTCTGCAGACCTGCTGCTTCACCTGAGAAATAACCAGCAGCCCCAATTTACAGGTGACCACATGGACCTCTTATTCAAGCCCTGAGTGCTTTCATTCACAGGTGTACTGTTTCCTCATATTAAAGATTTGGACTAAGAATTTAATCATCGAGGTTTTTAAAATGATTAAAAAAAAAACAGAGATGGTGCAATTAAATCCAAGCCACATTTAAGCCAAGAAAACACTTGCAGAACACAGTTAACAGTGAGCTATCCACACGTTTTGAGTGACAGTCTGTTATTCTCTCTGTGATCATTTGCATCACAGGTTCAAACTGATTCTGAACGCATCGAGCTTCCGCAGGTGCATTTGTCCTTTCTGAACTTTACACGACCTATTGGTCAATATTTCTGGATGTATTTACTCCTTAAAGCTTCGTGTTTAACCTGAGTATAGTAGTAATCCCTTTCATTGTGAATAAAATGCTACATATCCAAACCCACGCCCTTTATTTGAGCAATGAGTCTGCGTTACAACCGGAGCTCCGGTGATCAGGAAGGTAACAGCCCCGTGCATTCCTCCATTTATTCTCTTCTTTCCCTTTAGCTTATCGACTCTTTGTGTGATTGATTTACCTCATTATAGAAATGTTCTGCAACTTCCTGAAAGTTTTTCTGTTGTGCGCAAAATTGTGTTTTTTTTTTATTTCCAACAAACAACCACACTTGTTTTTCATGAGGGCGTAAAGAGAGGGGATTTTACTGTTTAAATGAATATAGAACTTCTTCAATTTAAGTGCACCTTCACTAAAGGAATCTTAGTAGTAAAACACAACAGCCAATACAACTGTGTTCGTAGTTTTATCACGTCATTAAAAGTTGATCTGCTTTGTTTGAAGCGTCACATGTGGTTCGATTTGTGCGTTTTTAATCCACGGTGTGATCAAAGACTGCAGGAATAATAGGCTCGATGGATGCTCTTTTATTAAAGTTGCATTTAAGACTGATTATTTGTCATACCTGCTCTCTCTCGCCTCCCTCCCTCATTGTGTTGTTTTCTTCTCCACTGGCGTGGCACGGTAGCTTCAATTGTAAACACACATATTATATCACTCAATGCTTCAATGGATTCGGGCTGGAAACTCCGCCTGTGGGCCGTCCCTCGCAGAGCCATTATATTATAGCGAGACACGCGTGTCTCCGGAGACAGATCTGTACTCTGCTGCTCAGACTGAGGCTCAGGGTGCCTCCAGCGCCTCACACGAGCCTTTACAACAAACACACAGAGACTTTCATTGGAGCTGCTGCACCTGCTCTGCTGATCAGCTCAGACCAGACTTAAGAAGACTCTTCGGGATAGAAGGTTATCTTTCCATTTAAAGAAAAATGAAACTTGAAGTTTTCTCTGCGCACCACTTCGCGCAGAAGCCGCTGGAGTTGTGCATGGACGCAGACGGGGGAGTGCCGTCTCCTCTGTCCGGGGACGAGCTGGGGTCTGACGGGGACTGCGTGGCCAACAGCCCGGCACCTGTCACCCAGAGCGGTGACAGCAGCAAGGGGAAGCCATACACCCGCAGACCTAAACCCCCTTACTCCTACATCGCCCTCATCGCCATGGCCATCAGAGAGTCCAGCAGTGGCCGCCTCACGCTGGCAGAGATCAACGACTACCTGATGAAGAAGTTTCCATTCTTCCGCGGCAGCTACACCGGCTGGAGGAACTCTGTGCGCCACAACCTCTCACTTAACGACTGCTTCCTCAAGGTGCTGCGGGACCCGTCCCGGCCCTGGGGAAAGGACAACTACTGGATGCTGAACCCGCACAGCGAGTACACCTTCGCTGACGGGGTGTTCCGGCGCAGGAGGAAGCGCATCGCTAAGAGGAGCTCCACCAAGGAACAGGAGAGCCAGGACCTCCTGAACGAGGACACCCGCCTCCCCGTCCCGGAGGAGAGGGTGGGGGTCAAGTTCTCCAGCTCCTTCGCCATTGACAGCATCCTCAGCACACCCTTCAAACGGCGGGAGGACATCCACGCTGAGGCAGCACACCCCCACGCCCCCCGGATCTACTGGCCCCCAGGAGCACACCTGTTGCCCTTCACTCTGAGTTATCCTGCACAGCACACGTACCTGTCAGAGGGTGGGTACAGCAGCAGCACGGAGCCAGGGAGGGACGCACTCATATACCTGCAACAGACAGCACCTGAGGCCACTCTGCACGCGCTCAAGGTGTCCAGTAAGGCGCGAGCGTTCCATATAGACACTCTGCTGTCATGAGGCACGCGGACTGCTGGCACACTGAATGTGTGGACTCATGATGTGCACTTTCGTGGGCGCTTTTTATCTTTTTTTGCTTCACCTTTGTGGGACTTAGTCTCGTCATGACCTCCCACAAGTCATTCTAAAGTCAAAACAAAAACAAACATGGCGTCCTAATAATAAAGATTCTAACTGTGTGGTGGTGACCGAGCATAAAGCTGCTGTCATCATAGGAAAAGTGTGTGTGTGCATGTGTGTGTGTGTGTGTGTGTGTGTGTGTGTGTGAGGATCGTTTAGAGCGCGTGTTTGTATCTGTTGTTTGGTTCATTGTTCATTTCTACTGTATGACGGCTAAAAGTGCCACATTGAAACATAAAATTATTCCTTTATTTATATTTTCATGTTTTGTATGACCTGCTGTATAAAATATTGTTGTATATATAATTAAATATTGCTGTGTGTATGTATATATATATATATATATATATAAAATATTGACTGAGCTGCGATGGTGGCTGCACTACAAACGCATGGAAAAGTTCGATGTGTCTCCTGAGATTGATTCATGCATGTCTGCTATTTTTATGAATAAAAAACGTGAAACACTGGGACCCTGCTGCTCAACGAGATATTGATTACGGAATTGAAGAGGTGGAGTTACTGTGTGTTTGTGTGTGTGTGTGTGTGTGTGTGTGTGTGTGAGAGTGAGTGAGGGGGGGGGGGGGGGGGGTGAAACAGGTGTACAGTCAGATTAGTGTGGGCGGGAGGAGTGGATGGGCCTTGCACCTGTTCAATAGCGGAGATAGAGCTACTGTAGATTTTTCTGCAAAGGCATAAAAGAGAGAAGTGTTACTCTCAAAACAAATAATGATTAAATAATAATATTTAGGGAATAAATCGAACATACAGCCGAACGGGCTCCTCTTATGTATCGACTCACTCATACATGATCTCAGTGTATATTCACATGTTTAAAGAAATGTGACAAGATTTTTAAGTACTTTAGTTGTTTGTCAAGACCAAAGCATACCCTTACCTAACTGTCTAGAAAGACACTAAAAACATTGAGTCGTGAAATAATTGTTACGCAAGGATATAACTTTGAGACTTAACATTTCAAACAGGATTTACAAAATCTACTCTGCCATATATAAGGCTTCAAGATTCAAGATTGTATTTTGCATTTGTCACACGCTCATACAGATGCGCAGTGAAATGTAACGACTGTACAAGGCCATGCAATAAACACTTACAAATTACTAATACAGTAAATGTAGAAATATAACGTAAAATTGATATATATATATATATATACAGTCATCTTATCAAAATCAATAATTAAAAAGTGATATTTTACTCAGATATTCTTGTTGTGGTTGTTATTACATGATGTTGGTGATATTAAAATGTTGTGTGTATATATTTGATTAAAATCTTAGTATGAATAATCCCACAGAAACTGCTCCAATGAACTGGGAATTATCCTCACGTTGTGTTTCATGTGAGGATAATTCCCATTAACTGTTCATTGGAGCAGCTTCTGGTGTGTGCGGACTTTGTCTTACTCTGTCTTTGGATTTGTTTTTTTTTTATCCAGCACCCAGTACTCAAATACTCGGAGGTGCTAGCTGTTTGATATTTGTGTACGAATAATCCCACAGACAGGCTTTGTTGTGCAACCGTTTAAAAACATGAAAATAAAATTAAAAAGAGTGAACAAAGATTGAGGTGTTTTGTGAAATGTGTCCGCATCAAAACAGGAATATCAGTTTTGGATTCATATACAACATGTTCACACTGACATTCACTGACACACGGACACTTTACGCACACACATCCCCGCAGCTTGTTTACTGTCCGTGTCCGCAGGAGGCCAAAGCTGCTGTCCGCGGTCCTGAAACAGACCCCGGACTCATCAAGCATCTTAAACTAACAAGGCATCTTCATCTAAATACTCTGGGCAACATGTTCTCGGGATATTCAGGGTCTTAATGTCACATTTTTCATCGTTTATCTTAAAAGGTAAACGTTAATCTTGATATCTTCCTAGAATCTCAGCCCACATCTCACCTTCTTCATGGACAGTCTCCTCACAGTCTCCACAGGTAATAAGAAATACTGAAAATAATGTAATGTGCATTAACATGATTTAGAAATGAGCTCATGTGCCGGAGAGCTACAACACTCTCAGGACAATAACAAGTAAAGTGTTGTATTATACAGAGTATCCTGTTATATGTTAGGTTTATTCTTTTTCAAATTAATATTCACTGAATTAAAAAAATGTTTATTTTGCTGCTCTTTTATCTTTTTTGTTTCTCTTATATTTCTTTAAAAACATTATTAAGGCTGACTCAATGAGCATGAAAAGTCTAAAGTCCTGTACTGTGTGTGTAAATAGCAATAAATAAATCATTCTAGCTAATGGTTTTCCATCATTTTGTGTTGTTCACAGTTCTGATTTGGCTTGTTTATTTATCCAGCGAGATGACCATTGGTCAGATAGTTTCATGCACAGATGTGTCTGCCAAATAATACGCCTTTGTTTTATCGGCTGTAGAATCCGTAAGGAGATCTCATTTTCAAACGAAGGCCTCTCTGCATTCCACAAGGACACCGTAACACACAAAGGGATGTAATGTAAAGCGAGAGCATATTCTTCATTATTAAAAAAAAAAAATCATCAACAAACCCCTTAAACGCTGAAGATTGGATATTACAGTCAAGGACCAAAACTAAGCATTTTATTTTATTTTTTTAAATCAAGAAATAATTGAATGCTGGAGTTGAAGATATACATTCTCTAAAGCAGATGAATTCATTTTAACGTAGGGCTGCATCTGCACATTTCAAAACCAAAGAGTCACAGCATATGACCGTGATTTTATAATATTTTGTGAGTGGCTCTTAACTGAACACAGGCCTGTTTTCTACATCCGTCACGCACACATCGCTGTGTTTATCCACACACATGTTGCAGCAGCAGCAGCAGCAGCAGCAGACCGTTGTGAGGTCTGTTCTCGGATCAGTCTCACAGGTGACAGGTGAGCCTCCTTTTCAGGGACAATGCTGCAACCTGCAGGTGAAACGTCGGAATAACACACCTGTCTGCGGGGCAGTCACGTGGCTCCAATCCTCGCAGACAGCATCCCCACTTTGTTGACATCCTGGTTGACGTGACGCGCGTCCTTCGTGTTTATAAACAACCATTTTCTTTTAATTCTCTGCACGAACATATGGACCAGGTGCACAGCATGCAGACAGGTTTCAGGGACCGACTGCTGATCGAATAAGGCCCTCGGTGTTATGAAACCAAACTTTAAGGCAGCAGGCACAATGTTAGGAAGTCCAAACAGTCTGTCACTCCGGCAAACTGAACCGCGCCTGACCTCCAGACTCCCGGGGAGGCAGCTCAGGAAACACAGTCAGAGCAGCAAGAAAGCCCGAGCAGGCGAGAGAATGTGATTCTGTTAAAAAGAGCTGAACTCGGTGTTTGTTGTTGTTTTATTTTTTATGCATTCTGTTTATAACAGGCCTGTAAGAGCTGTAAAAAAACATGGAGCATTTAAGACAGCCTTTATTTTCATTTTACCTAACCATTGTTTGTATTTTTTTTTTTTTAAGGCTTGTTTTAAAATCTGTATTAAGGGTTATTTTATTAAGAAATATAGCTTCCCAATTCTATATATTTTTTGTAATTTGATTCATTCAAATATAATGTAGTTTTAGGCCGTAGCCATTTTGTTGTAAAATGGCCTGAAATAGGTTACCCGAGGTCAAGCAGCCGGACAAACATTTTCTCTAAATCTTTATATATTTTATGGGGAATAAACAACATATTTCAGCCTAAATATGAAAACAAACAGACTGCCTGGTTGAGTCGGCAGAGGGCTCATATGGGGCCTCCAGTCGAGCCTGTTCTCCAAAGACAAACTCCTCTATGAAAAACACCTCTGAATAGCTTTCGTGGCGGCTGCTGATCACTTGAGATTTGCAAAAGGCTAAATTAGGAGCTCATATGATCCCGGTGCGTAAAAAACACCGAGCCGGAGCGCCTTCTTCAAAGCCTCCCAGAACAAAGATCCCCTCTGCAGGCCAAGGCATCCTGATCGCCGCGGGGGTCATAAGTTTTGATGTCGCAGGAAATTTCTGGGGGCCGTAAAGATCCACACAACTGCCGCCGTGTGTGTGTGTGTGTGTGCGTGTGTGCGTGTGTGTCACGGTGGAAAATGATTTTATCCGCACATCCTTTGTTGCGCCAAGTGCAAGAGGTTATTGTTGGTGGTTATTGTTTGGAAAATCCTCCAGGCTATATCTAAACTTAAAAGGTTGTGTCGGCAATCACGTGCACAGATCTGAGTGTGTGAAATGAAATGTGTAAATATGAAACTAGATTTTTCTGCTCTCTATTTCTTTTTATCTCCTTCGAGCTGCACTGTTGACGTGTGCGGTATTAAAAACAAAACAATAAAAACGCACCATATTACAAGACGAACTAGCCTACAATTACACAGAAAAAAAAGCCCATGCACGGTTGTAAATTAAAAAATCTAATTTGTGTCAAACATGCAAAAGCTCAACAATGATGCTTTCCTTTTAGCAAGAGCCGCAAAGCCCAATGCCTTGTTGCCCTTCAAAGCTCAATGATCTCCGCTCCGTCGCAGCACGGATGTTGATATTACCTTTATGGGATATATAACTCCATCATGTTGGACAAATCTGTGTGTGATGTCTCCATAGGGGAGGAAACTGTCGACGCCCGCTCGCCTAATTTCGCTTTTCTCTCTCTAATGAACGCGGGGCCCATGGGACCGGCTCTGGCCCGGGGCGGTAAGCTGACACTGGCGCGCTGTGTGTGGTATCCAGGGCCGGGCTTGATGGAAAAAGCCTGCTTCCACTCATGTCAAAGTCATTTACTCAGAGCAACCCCCCGCTTACACACGCACGGCAAAGACCACCACCTCTCCATCTCTCACACTCTTCGCCCCAGCCCGGCACCGCGACAGTTTGTTTTTGTTATCCTCTGGACCAGTTTGGGAGGAAATTATGAGCAAAATAATACAAATAACACAAGATGGTGCGTTTTTTTGTTTCTGAACAGCGATGCGCTTGGGTTCTATCTGCAGCAGATCTCTTGCAGGCCCCCCAGTGAATGTTTTGGGCGTTATGGTTTAAATTGCAATCTAGACTTTTTTTTGCATATTGTGGAAGTTTATTCGTGTCAGTAAAAATGCGTGATCTGAGGCATATCAGGCTGAAATCACAGCTCCTACATGCAGGACCGGAGGGGGGGGGGAGCTCGTTTTTTAACTTGTGCGTCTGGCGTGTGGCGCTGTTGATTGGGATGTCTGGGGGAGGTTTGATAGATGGCTTAATTGCGTGTAGTCCGAGCTGGGAGAGAAGGAGTGGGAGGAGGGGGGAGGGGGGGGGGAGGAGGAGGGGGAGAGGAGAGAATAAGGGGCTTTAACGCTGCTGAGAACGGTAAATGGACTTGGGCCAAATTTGGCAGGAGGGTGGAGGGGTGGGGGCTCTTTTCGTCACTGATTTGAGGGAGATTTGCAGACGCAGAGTGCGGATGAGGAGAAGGGGTGGGGGGCTCTCACAGAGGGAA